TTCTGGCAGTGCAGAAAAATAAAGGAGAACTGAAAGGGTCCTTGTGAGCAGGGCCACTGTCAGTGCTGTACAGGGGAGCTGGGCCTGCCCCATGCTTCCCACACCGGGACCTCTCTCTAGGGATCCTAAAGGGGCTGTGTACAGAGTACAGCATGCGGGAAGAGGAGGTGGAGGCCAGGGTTCTCAGGCACCATGCAGGCAATCCCTGTCCCACCTCACTGTATGCTCAGCTCCAGTCAGGAAGCTTGTCCCTGGCACAGCCATGCTACTGAGACCTTAGCTCACACTGGGACCCAGTGAGGACTCAGACAGACAAGGCAGTAGGCAACTTGGTGCCATGGGGTCAGTGCCACAGTCTGGGCAGGACAAAGAAAGGTTCCAGGAAGAGGTCTCACAGAGGGAAAGGGATTGATTGGCATGTGAGGGAATTGTTTCCAGGTAGTAGGAACAGCAAGTGGCATGGAATAAGGAAGAGGGGAAGTCAAGGACATGGGCTGGCTGGCACTGCCCATAGAGGGTCCGGTGCTGTGTGAGTGGTGGCGGCCCTGGCTCTTCACATGTGGCATGGAAAAGATTGTGCCTGGCTCAAGCAGATGGTCCTGTGAGGCACTGGGATCTCTGGGCACTTGGCAAACAGCACACTAGCCACAGCAGTAGCTGACCTATAGTCAGTCTGTGCTCCAGATGGGGCGTGAGGTGTGGAACTGGCATGAGAAACAACCTTTTTCCTGAGGGGCCCCAAGTTAGCCCTGTGGCAGGGAATGAGTAGGGAAAGGTGTTTGTGCTGAGAGTTGGCACCTCAGTAGCGGGAGAGACTGGCATTGGCCTGGGTGTGGCCATGAGCAAGGGAGACCTGTCTGGGACTGTGGGGGCATGTCCAACTGTCACCATCAAGTAGGCGGCTGTGGCTGAACCCTCATGGGACATTTCTAGGGTCAGGGGAGCACTGGCCAGGCTGGAGAAGGCAGAGTCTTGAGTCTAAGAGAGGGGCATCCCCCCCCCAACACCTGCTCCCTACCATTCTGTCCACAGTAACCTCAGGGCCTTGGCAGTGTTTTCAGAGACTCCCAGAGGGCTGGCCCTGGGCCTCGGGTTCCCTTTCTGTCAGTGGGGACAGTGTCTGAGCTGACCTGCCTAGCCAATGCTTTAGCTGCTCTCCTTGCCCAACAAATGATGGGAGCTCACCCTGAGGGGCGGCAGCCAGGCCCTGCAGATCCCACGCTGGGGATCATCTCCAGCCACAGGGAGGCTTTTTCAGTCCCTCAGGCTTCTGGCCACAGGAAACAGCAACTTTCTTTGGCTGGGAGAGTGCTGTGGGGCTTGAGCAGTTAGGGGTTTTTAGAGTCAACCGTCACAGGCAAGGGGCTTTCTCCGCTGGCAGGGGCAAGGGCCCTGGGTGCGCTCACAGCTTCCACGTAGACCGCTGCGGTCTACAGGGAAAATGCCGCCTGTGTTTATTTTTCACCTGCGACTGCAGGAAGTGGGGGTGGACTTGGCAGGGTGGGGACAGGTGACAGGAGACCTCAGAGCCAAGGAGACCTACCTTAGGAGACCCCCTTCTCTCCTCCCGCCTGGCCCCAGCTGCTGACCCAGGGTGGGGCCTTCTAGCCACAAACAAAAATGCAGCACACGAGCAGTGCAGGAGCATCAACAAGTCCTGGACCTGGGTGTCACAAGCCCCAAGTAGAGTAAGGCAGTGAGGTCCAGGGCATCCTAGCGCAGGAGTCTGGACAGCTGACTCGCCATGTGCTGCTGCCCTCTGCCATGCTTTGTGCACTTACTGCCTGCCCAACCCTGAAAGCCATGAGACGGTGCCATTGGTGCTTCCTTCCTTTGGGGGCTGGGCACAGGCACCATCAGGTGAAAGAGGGTGGGAACATGCCAGGCCCCAGGGAACCCCACCCAGCAGCCTGGGCAGCCTGGGCAGCCTGGGCAGCCTGGCCCTGGAACAGCCTTGTGCCGAGGCCCTGGAGTGGGATGTTCTTCTAGCTTAGGAGGGAGGGGGCCATCTGCCAGATGGTTCAACCCCACCATCGAAAACAGAAGACTGGGCTGACAAGTGACACTAAGAGGCAGCTTACATGAATGTGGGAAGGACTGGCCAAGGCCCTCAGTACCCTCCCCAGCCTAGGCCCTCCAGCTTCCTGTGGGGTTTCTGCCCCACCCTGCCCACCAGCACTCTCCTGTGGTTTGGCTGTAGCCTCCCGTTTAATGAAGCTTTGCACTAGTTTCCCAGGAAAGGCTGGTAGTAGACAGCAGGAGCCCATGCCTACCAGGCATCTCCCACCCCTCTGAAGACAGCAAATCAACAGCTGATGGCTGTCCCTGAGGGTTCCTGGACCCGCCTGCACTGTGCTGTGACCTGGCGAGGCTTGGGGCAGCCAATGAGGGTCAGTGCTGGCCACTGTTCAGGTGGCAGGACTCTCCAGGACTTCCTGGCCAATGCTGGCCCTCCCTAGGAAGGGGTGGTTCACTGAGAAACCTGCTGTGGAGCCCCCCTGTGCCCTGCAGCAGATTCTGGGTGGTGTCTTCCTACAGCTGGCACGTTGGACCAGGCTGCCAGGGGCTTGGAGTTGCCCCCCTTGGCCAGGTACACCTAATTTGTTCTCAGAGGGAAAGCCAAAACCAAGGCTGGATGGCAGGAGCTCAGGCTGGATTCCAAAAGCCCTGGTTCTTACGATGGCTGCTTGTTCCACCTGCTGGCCTGTAGCTCGAGGCATCTGTGCCCTTGGGTGGAAAGTGTCTGCTAGGGTCCAGTGTTTGTGACGAGTGGACCCTGAGGCTGTCTGCCTGCTCTCGGCTGGCATGAGGCCTGTTCAGGGCTGATGCCATCTGGCCAACAATGTCCTGGGAACCTGTCTGGTAAGTAGGCCCCTAGGGGTTTTGAAGCTGGCGGGACTGAAAGTCTCATCCCCACTTTGAAAGGGGAGAAACTTCAGGCCTAGAGAAGGGATTGGAACGGCTCAGCACCCCATGTGCACGGGTCAATGGGCCTCCAGCTTCATGTCATGGCATGCTGAGGATGCAGTCCTTCGAGTGAGTGCAGGAGGCTGCTGGAGGCCAACACGGCATAGACAAGTAGGAGGGACCGAGCTAAGGATGGAACCAGGCCTGTTTCTAGAGTGCTACAGGTTCCAGGGCCAGACAGCGAGGTCTCTGGCACCTTCACACCTTCAAAGCTGAACAGAAAGGACCCGACTCATATGGCTGCTGGGTGGAAGGTGGCTGAGGACACAAGGAAGGAGGCTGCCACAGTCATCCAGAGGAGAAGAAATGGCGGCTTGATTAGGCTCACAGTGGGGAGGGAGGAAGCGCTGGTTGGGTTGTAGGTCTGTTTTGAAGGAATTGCTGGCAAGTTGGATATAGGATGAGAGAAACCAGTCTAGGAGGAGTCCATGAGCTCCAGTCTGAGTAACTGTAATGCCAGCACTGCCAGTAAGAGCGGGACAGGGAGGAGCATCTGGTCAGGACACCTGGGGTGATGTGTCCTGATTTGGACCTGCTACATGTGGGGAACATCTTGCACCCCTGAGCACAGTTAAATAGGCATCTGGAAAGTGGAGCTCCTAGAAGTGGAGACTGGAAATGGAAACGTGGAATTGTAAGGTAAAAATGTTCAAAACTGTAGTCTGGATGGGAGAGTGACTGGAAGCTGGAAACAATGCCACTGAGGACAGATGGGTGTGTGTGTGCGATTCTGGAATCCCAGTGCAGAACCTGTTCCAAGCAGGAGACATTTGACAGCCAGTAGCTGGGTAAAATGAAGGCTGTGTGCTGACCTTGGGGTCTAGACTGTGGCAGCCACTGGGGTCCAGTGGGCATGGGGCAGCTCCCCAGCTGGGCTAGAGAGAGAGAATGAGCAAAGAACTGGAAGCACCAAGAGGCCAGGTCTGTTGGGTTTCTGTAAAGGGAATAACATGACGTGGGCAGGCTTGCAGAGATCTCGGTCCAGTGCCTGGCATGTGGTAGGTGCCACATGTGTCCGTATAGCCTCTCCCCTTCCAGACATCTGTCAGAACACTAACTCCTGTCTGAGCATAGGTGAATCTCACCTACTTCTGTTATGCAAGGATATTCCTGGTGCAGATAGATGGGCCTGGGCCTGACTGGTGGCAGTGGCAGCACCATCCCCAAGACCTGAGGGAAAGAGTGCAGCTTATAGGCCACAACAGGCATGTGGGAGAAGATGGCCAGCCTGGGCTGCTGCTGGCCCTACAAGGGGTGGGAGCCTATGCCCACCTGTGGGCTCTGCCCTGGCTATGGTGGAGTTTATTCTTACCCTGCACTGCCCAGGAACCTGTGACAGACTCCCTTACCTGGGTCACTCAGGCCTTCCACAGACCTGGAAATGAAGGGTTCAGGAACTCCTTCATTACCAGGAAGGGAAACAGGAGCTCTGAGGTTGTCTATCTACAGTGATCAACAAGGTAGGGAGGAGGCCAAGGGAAGCCAGGTCCTGGGTTATAGATGGTACCTGGCCTGTGCAGAGCTGGGTGCTGGCCCTGGCAATGATTCCCTGTGTCCAGGTCATGTTGGCTACCCCCTTCCCATCATGCTGACTGAGTCATCTCAGGACAGCCACACAGCTAGTGTGAAAAGTAAGAGTGCTGCAGTGCTCAAGAGACAGGAAGTGCGGGGGTAGGGGGCCCTTCCCTGTGTCAACAACCCAACACGGGCCTAAAGCAACTAGGGCCTTGAGAGAGCAAGCTGCAGTGCTGATGCCTGGGAGCTGCCCTGAGACAAGCCCCTGAAGCTTAGAGAAGCTGCTGGAGCGCTGGGTCTGGGTGGCCCAGAAGGATCCCTGTACAAGCAGGTGCACGCTGCAGAACTGAGGGCCCAGAGACAAGGGGAGACTGTCTAACAGATGTGTAAGTGCCTGGGCAGCTTGGGGCCCATGGTCCTTGGCAGCTCCCTGGGGCTCTGCCTGTATGCACAACTACCACCCTGAGACTCCTTCCCTCCAAGACTCCCACATTCATGCTCCCCTTCTCACTTTTCAGCACAACAAAGCCAATCAGCCCCCTCATGGTGTCCCCCAGCTGTCTCCTCTCTACGAACATTTCAGCAGCCCACACCCCACGTCTGCACCTGCAGACATCAGCCAGAAGCAAGGTATGGGTCTGGGATGGGGAGGGGCCCAGTGAAACTAGAGTAGAGTTGGCATGTAGAGCTGGCTTACAACCAGGCAGTTGGGACCATCCTGTAACAGGAGAACCTGGGCTGTGCAAACCTAGGATCCCAAGAGAATGCTGTTAAGACAAGACTCCAGGGCTGGAGGGCACCAGATGGTGGGGGAAGGTGATACCAGGCCAAAATATGAAGGCTTCAGGTTGAGCTAGAAGCCTAATTGGATCACTGGACAGTCACAGTAGCAGGGTGGAAGCAGGCATCTACCCTGCTGATGGCCGTAAACCAGAGTCCCTCCCTCCACAGGGAGAAAGTGGAACGTGGTTGTCATGGTTGATTCATCGCAGCCTCAGGCCGTCATTCTGAAATCCACCATTGCCAGCTGTGGGAAGCATGCTGACTCAACTTGGGGGACTGGGTGGTGCTTTATTGTCCAGGCCAGGCCCATGAGGGGGGTCTGCCTCTACTCAGAAGGCCAGGCTGCGGCCCCCACAACTCCCACCCCCCCCCAAAAAAAAAAAAACAAGATCCCAACTATGTACTAGCAGTAGACCAGGGAGTATCAAGGCCAGGCCTCTCCCTCCTGAGTGACTCCAACTCTACCTCCTGGACAAGCAGTGTCCTAGTCCCCCAACTTCTCTGTCCTCAGTTTTCTATCAAAGGGCCACTGTGACACCAGCCAAGTCCTGGATAAACCTCTGGCTTAAGGGGCTAGCATCTCTGTGGCAGCCAGTGGGTACAGTCACTGCCGACAGGCCTCCATGGAACAAACTAACTGCTCACCTGCTCTCACAACCACAGGAGTTCCCAGGCCTCTGCAGACCCCTGACCTCTCTGGCTTCTACTCCCTGACCTCGGGTAGCATGGGACAGCTCCCACATACTGTGAGCTGGTAAGTGTGGGTGTAGCGGGAAAGGGATACCATGGCTGGGAGGACCTGTATTTAGCCTTCCATTTTGCCCTTCCCCTTTGTGTCCAGTGCAGATGCTGAGGCTGGCCAACAGTTAGGTCACCAGCCTGCCTGTGCACCAGGATCCCTGCAGCCCTTGTAGGTGCTCTACGGGTAGCTAACCAGTCCCATATCTCAGTCCTATTGCATCTGAACTCTTCCTCAGTGTCTGAAAGCCTTGGCCTGCTTGTATGCCCTGGACAGAACTCTGGGCTGCCATGGGACTTCCAGAGCCATGTGCATGTGAGAAAGGATGGGTCTGAGAGGGAGGGGACTTTACAGGCTGCTGTTTACATGGCCTCAGTGCCTTCCTTGGCTGAGCTGCTTTGGGGTCAGTGTACTTTATATTTTTTCTTTTCAAAGATACATTTTGGAGAGAGGGGAAAGGAGAGATCTTCCATCCATTGCTTTTACCCCAAATGGCTATAATGCCCTGCCGAAGCAAAGAGTTTAAAACTCTCTCCATCTGGGTCTCCCACATGGGAGCCAGGGTCCCAAACACTCAGGCCATCACCAGTCTTCCCAGGTTTGTTAGCAGGGAGCTGCATCAGAAGCAGAGTTAACAGAAATGGGAACCAACACTGATATGGAATGCTGGTGCCTCATCACAGGCTCTGGGGCAGTGTACCTTCTTGCTTGTGTGGTATTGGTAAGCCTGCCAAGAGGGTCTCCTAAGGCTCGACCTGGGAAGGCTGCTTGGTCAGCAGCCCCAAATGGGCAGAAGCCTGTCCTCAGTAGGAGTTAGGCTTTGACCAGAAACTTGGCCCTTAGGTCATCAATGACACTGACCTGGACTAAGGCAGTCAGTCACCTAAGAGCAGGAAAGGTTGGTTTCCCGGGAAGGGGAAGCCTACTAAGAGCGCTGGGCCCCTCACCCCCGTTCAATCCATACTTCTCGATTCTCTTTTGAACTCCCAAGTGGGTAACAAGGGCTCAGGGCCCAGACAGAGAAGTGGCCAGGTCAGTCTCTTCAAAGCATCCCTTAGACCAAAGCTCCAGATACCAATGGACTTGAAGCTACAGCTGATGACTCAAGGTTCCAAAGAGGGGCTTCTGGCTCAGGGGAGGGAAGCCAGGGGTTCTGGGTACTGGAGCACTGCCAAAACCAACAGTTTGTCACCCTGGCCTTAGAGCATAGTCTGCCCAGTGGGCAACTCAGGCAAGCAGCTCCATAATAGAGTTAGCTTGGTTAGCTGTGCTTTGATATGGGCACTGCAGCTCAAGTTCACCTGGCTTAAAGAAGAAAGGTTCTCTAGTTAATTGACAGCTGAAGGACCAAGAGTTGAAGTATGCATGTGTACACCTAGGGCATCAGCACTGTACCATCCAGGAAATGACACAGACTAGAAAGGACAAGGGCCTGCTAAGCTGGATCCCAGGAGACAGCTGTCCTTTCCGTCCCTAAGCACCAGCACACAGTGCCCCCTGGTGGCAGTTGCTTAGAATACTGGAGAAGGCCTGTCAGAGGTGCATGTACCTCAGACTGTGGGTCAGATAGAGCAAGGTGGGAAGTCCTTCCCCAGGTCTGGCCAGGAGCCAGGCTGCTAACAGCTGTCTCTCCCAACCACAGGCCCAGCCCTCCTCTCTACCCCCTGTCCCCTTCCTGCGGATATAGGCAGCACTTCCCTGCCCCCACTGCAGCCCCTGGCGCCCCCTACCCCAGGTGAGTCCCCTCTTGCAGCCAGGCTCCTGCTTCTGTTGCCCAGGCTTCAGTGCCCACACAAGGCCGAGTCAACGCCAGTGCTTGCCCTGTGTTAGCTGTTTGTCCACCTGTCCGTCTGTCCTGCAGCCCTGCATCTGAGAGCAAAGCTAACAGGCGTATCAAAGGCTTTCACTCAGTCTATCCTGGCTGGACAGCACATGCCCACCTCTGTTCCACAGCTGCTGGGGGCACCTGCCAGCCTCTGGCCTTAAGAGCTGCTCCCTGCTTGGGATCTCCCATGTGTATGTGTGCAAGTGGTGTTACGGGGCAGAGCGCCCCTCCCCCAAATGCCCAGAAGGTGAAGAGAGATGTGTGAGCGCATGCTTCTCTACACTTAGCCCACTCCCTCAGTGACAGACCTGGTGCCAGGCATACAGCCCAGGGATCTCTGCTGGAACTCCCAGAGTGAGCAGTATGACCACAGCCCCAGCAGATAGAGGAGAACCCACAAAGACTCCAGTGCAGTCTGAAGGATTGGGGAGCACCACTGCCAGAGGGGGGAAAGAGAGGAGACAGCTGCTGTAGGGCTAGCTCAGAGTGGGAGGAGATGGGGCTAGAAATGACAATAGGGTGTGCTTTTGTGCGAAGGGAATTTCAGGATCTTTTATGCACTAAGCCACAACACTAGTCCCTTGTTAAGCCATTTTAAAGTCACCCTGGAGAAGGCAGCACCATGGCACAGATTAAGCCTCTGCCCACAGTGCCAGCATCCCATATGGGCACTGGTTTTCGTCCCAGCTGTTCCACTTTCAGCTCAACTCCTTGCTAATGCACCTGAGGAAGTAACAGGTTGGTCCAAATCCCTGGGACCACACACTCACATGAGCAACACAGAAGCAGCTCTGGGCCCCTGGCGTCGGACTGGCCTAGCTCTAGCCACGTGGGAGGTAAACCAGCAGATGGAAGGTCTGTCTTCTCTGTAAACCTGCCTTTCAAAAAAAAAAACCTTTTAACTACATGGAAAGACATAATAATGTACATTTTTGCAGTGTCTGTGCAATGTGTTGGTTGGGAGAATGCCACTGCCGTGTTTGTGTGGGTGGGGTGTCTCTGCTCTCCTGTGTCTGTGTACTGCACAGTGGCCACTGTGTGTATCCAGGGTTGGGCCTGGATCTCCTGGCTGAAGGCTAATTCTCCTGCTTGCAGGTTCTCCCACCCGTCCCTGATGCTGGGCTCTGGTGTACCTGGCCATCCAGCAGCCATCCCCCACCCTGCCATCGTGCCTCCCTCAGGGAAGCAGGAGCTGCAGCCCTATGACCGCGGCCTGTGAGTGCAAATACAGGCCCTCGGGGAGGGGTGGGGAAGTGGGCTGAAAGTGAGCAGTTCCTTCTGTCAGCTGGGGTACACCTGCTTCCCCCTAGGCCCCAGACTTTGTGGAAGGACTCTGCAAGCCCACCTGTGGCTCTGGCTAATGACGGTTATTGAGGGCTCAGCAGCAGGGTGGGGTGGGGTCGGTAAGATGGGAAATCCTTGTGTGTACTTTTGCCCCTTGGCTGTAGTATGCTTGTAAGGAACAGTTGTTGGCTTAGTCATGTGGGGGCACATAAAACGATCCTGTTTACTGGATCCACATTAGAAGAGGATGATGATGTCAGGCGTGTGTCCCCCAGGAAGACCCAGGGTGAATCCAAGGCAGAGAAGGAAACCAAGAAGCCAACCATCAAGAAGCCCCTGAATGCGTTTATGCTGTACATGAAGGAGATGAGAGCGAAGGTCATCGCAGAGTGCACACTGAAGGAGAGTGCTGCCATCAACCAGATCCTGGGCCGCAGGGTGAGGCTACGGGAAGGGGGGTTGGCAGGGATGGCTCCTTTGTGCCGGGGCAGTGTCTGACTCCCTGACTCGTGCCATCTGTTGCCTTCCTGTTGCAGTGGCATGCGCTGTCGCGGGAAGAGCAGGCCAAGTACTATGAGCTGGCCCGCAAAGAGAGGCAGCTACACATGCAGTTATACCCCGGCTGGTCGGCGAGGGACAACTATGTGAGTGGCCAACAACATAGCAGGTGTGGGCAGGGGAAATTGCAAGGCGCTTGGCCACAGGCCTCCTGTTGCTAACTCAGGAGAGGCCAGGCTGGCGAACTGCTCCTAGAGGCAAGCTCACATCCTGTTCTGCACTCACACTGGGACTGTCACCCAGTGGTAATCTGGGCCATGCTGACAGGGCCAAAGAGCTACTGGAGAGCAGATGGGGGAGCCCCTAAGAATATATCCAACAGCACCAGGGCTCTACATTGCCTAGAACTCTAGAAGCAGCAAGGCTGGACAGCTGGCTGAAGACAGAGCAGCCACAGCCACTCACAACTGAGCATCTTCCCTTTGTTCTCGGCAGGGGAAGAAGAAGAGGCGGTCGAGGGAAAAGCACCAAGAATCCACCACAGGTGAGGCCTGGCCCCAGCAGCAGCAGAGGCGCCTCTTCATATCCCCATTTTAAGAGCAGTTCTGCTCTGACCCCATGGGAAGAGGCAGAGTAGTTGGAGACCAAGGCTCTCTAGAAGCAAGCCTCAAACATCTCAGTTCAAATTCCCATGGCAGGAACAGCCATATGAAGTCCCAGAGAAGACTTGAAGGAGCTGATTCGTGTAGCAGTTGGTGTGCTCCCTACCGGAGACGCTAGAGAGGAAATAACTGCTTAGCCAAAACCTGGCTGCAATTGGGGACATGCTGCCCAGACAAGAGATTGATCCAGACCTCAGGCCTAGGGCCATTACTCTGTGCAGCCTGCTGGCTAGTGCCTGCCAGTTTTCATGGCTGTGTAAAGTGCTCTGTGTAGAGGACCCAGGAAGCCTGTACTTCACCTGCTTCCCAGAGGTGAAGTCTGCTAATTTGGAGTACACCTCCAGGCTCTTCAGCTGTGTCACCCCACCGAGGGAAGCTGGAGGCTTGGACTACCACAGGGCAAGGTGAGGCCTAGGCCCTTCCCCCTGCTTCAGAAGTGTACAGAATAAGCGTTAGCTTTTGCTTTTTCCTTTGAGGGAATGTGGGACCAGCCAGTTGAACTTTGGCAAGAATGAACCAAAACTGAGTAAAATGAGCAAGAAATTGTGCAGCAGGGGTGGATAAGACAGCTAAAGAGGCTCCAGAAGCCAGAGAGGAACCAGCCTGTGAGGAAACCCCCTTCCCCAACATTCCATCCCTTATTCCTCCCCCTGCCTCTGCTGTCCAGCTGGGCATCCATCTTTCCTAATGCCTTACTCTGAGCCCTAGGGCTCCCACGAGGGCTGGCTGTCAGAGTGCCAGTCTGCCTATGGGGGCTGTGGGATATCTGTGATTGGCTAACACTGATGTTACCTCTTCTTTCTGGGCCCTGCTCTGCCCTGCTGCCTGCTCGCCCTCTGCCCTGCTCTGCCCCTCTGGCATGGCTGTGAGCAGACCCTGGCTCGCCTAAGAAATGCCGTGCTCGCTTTGGCCTCCACCAGCAGACGGATTGGTGTGGTCCTTGCAGGTGGGTTTCTCCCCACCGTCATTCTCCCTTTGCTTCAAGCTGCCTCCCTGACTGTGTGTGTCTGCTGAGCCTTCTCTCCTCCAGCCCTGCAGCCCTGCCATGCCCACATCAGGGCACCTCCCATCAGAGTGAACATTGCACACAACTTATGTCTGTTGGAAGGAAGGGAAGGCAGGTACAACAAAGGGGCATGGTGCCAGCCAAGTCCTTACCTGTTTCTCCCACCACACTGAGGGCTTGAGTCTCTGACCCTTGGCACTTCATAACTCTATCTTGATATCATGTACCTACTGAGACCAGAAGGCCAGGGAAGAGTAGTACCACTCCAAGCTGTCTCAGCCAGAAGGACCTGTGCCATCAAGCCTGTACATCCCACCACTTAATAGTAACAGTTGTGGGAGTTTAAAAGGTTTACTTTCCACATTCAAACTGGCTCATTCAGGGCCAGGTCTGGCAATACTGTGGCTAAAGTTATACTGGCCCCAAGAACACTTATCTACCTAGTCTTTTAGTATGCCTTATCACATTCTCTGTCCAGGGACCAAATAGAATTCAGGGTGTGTGCACAGGCAGATGCCAACTTTGGGGCAGGCCTGTCCTTAGAAGGCACCCCTCCCCATCCATTCCATGCTACTTGGGGGCAGCGGGGGGTGGGGGGGGGCGTACCTGTGGCCACAGAACTCTGCAACAGCAATCGCAAGAAACAAATTTCTTCTGCTAGCCCAGCTCTGAAGACTGGAATTATTCATTGAAGCAGCCCCTTCCCTTAGTGTGCATCTGAGCCACACACTCACAGAGGCAGCAAAAGCCCAAAGGCCCAGACCAGGAGAGGCTCCCTAGCGGCTCAGGCCTGGCTACAAAGGGTCCTTGTACAACCTTGTGGCTGTTGTGAGAACTGCACCTATCCCAGGTCTGGGCCAAGTCCAAAAGTTCGACTGAAGACTTGGGCATATCACCCAAGTCACGGGGAAAGGAGGAAGCAGGGCCTGCTCGAGGACAGCATTTTTTGGTTGTGGTGTATGACTGTGAATTCACCCTCTGTTTACAGATAACTCTCTTCACTATTCCTAGGAGGAAAAAGAAATGCATTCGGTACTTACCCGGAGAAGGCCGCTGCCCCAGCCCCGTTCCTTCCGATGACAGTGCTCTAGGCTGCCCTGTGTCCCCAGCTCCCCAGGACTCACCATCATACCTTCTGCTATCACGCTTCCCCACAGAACTGCTTGTTAGCCCTGCAGAGCCATCACCTACATCCCCAAACATCTCTACTGCTTGCAGCCTCCCAGCTCCCAGCCCCCCACAGGCCTCCCGCAGCACCCTGCAGAGTACACAGGCACAGCAACAGGAATCTCAGAGACAGGCAGCCTAGCCTTGCACAGGGACCCACCCGAGAGGAAGCGACATGGCCCAATCACATGGAGCACAACCTGAGTCCTAGGGTCCCATACCTGAAGATTTCAGAAGCTGGTCAACTTTTACCTGAACCCAGGCCCAATTCTAACTACCCCAAATGGTGGCATTCATATTCTGTGTTAATGCCACCTCATGAAGGGCATGCCTTGTGCCTGTGCCAGCCACATGCCCCCTGCTCCCCCTGCTTTTCTGCTGTAGGTCGTAGATGGGCTGGGCTGAGCACAGCTATGTCCTCGACCCCCGCCACACCCTCTCCAATCTCAGACACTTCATGGACCAAGAAGGAGCTGGTTCATCAAATAGCATGTGAGCACTGCCACAACCATAAAGCTCATGACAACACTTCTCTCATAAGAAAATGGAAAACCTGTTTACAGAAGAACCAGCTGCTACTGGTGAGCTGGGCCAGAGGAAGCCTCCTTATTGTGTCCTCAGGAACTTACAAGAGGGGATAAAGTTGGGTATAATTAGGCCTGTAACCTCCCAACAGAAAAGCCTGACACTGTACCATCAAGCTAATGTAGCTGGTATGAGCATCTGGCAGGAGTTCAAATTACTTGGAAATGTCTCCTGAGAAACTTGCCATTCTGAGCAGCTCTGATACCCAAGGCTCCAAGCCTGTCACTAGCAACTCGAAGACATGACTCCAATCTGGTGTATAATGCTCATTTAAAATAATCTTTGTCACAGTAACATTTTCAGCTCATTGAAATCAGATGAGCCAGCTCTTGGGCAGCTGTGAGGGGCAAATCAAAAGCTCTTGCTAGCCAGAGCCATTCTTCTGGCACTCAGCCAGCCTCACTTTCCGTGGGGTTACAGGAGGAGGACCACTGCAACCAAAGCAAGAGCCCAAAAAACCCCTAGTGATAAACAGTGGGTTTTCACTATGGCTTTCTTTAACCCTCTTTTGAGCCAAGCTTCAACTCTGAGCCTTGAAAAACCTGTTTTTTAAAATTTAACTTGTTGCCACCTCCTCACTGTACATAGCCTGAATCCAAAGAAAGGGGGCTGTCTGTATTCACATACAACCCTCCGGAAAAGCCTTGAGTTCCTACTTCAGCTACAGGTTTCTCAGAATCCAAAGATAACATACTCCCTAGTATAGTGCTGCGAAGTCTTGAGGAAAAGGACCACTGTAGTGTCCAAAATATTTTTGTACTGTTAATGCATCATCATAGAAAGACTTTTTTTAATGTGAGAATAAAGATAACTTTTTACTGGGTTTGTTTTTTAAAGCCTGACCCTGACAAATAAGCTGTTTAATATCAAGAATATAATGCTCTCCCTTTCTCACAGCTAAAAATACTCATCCCCTCCTCACTTCCTCTAAAGGGGTCCCGGCCCTGCACCCTAGACCAGAGGGCTGCTCTGAGCCAGGCTCTCAAGGCCCCAGCCCTCTGACTCCACAGTGCAGACCAATCTCCACTCTCATGTGGGTTTCAATGAACTGGAAACTCCCAACCTGAAACAGGTATACACAACCATGAGGCTGCTTTCTCAAAGAGAAGACTCCACAAGTACATGTGTCCCCAGGAAAGCAAGCAAATAGGAATATTCCATAAGCTGCTATAACCATAATTTACTCAAGGATAGTTTAATAACTCCCATTCCTCCCCTAACATTCTAAGACCTGTGTAGTCCAAGGGTAAGTTTCCAACCTGTTAAGTAAACTGCTGACCCCGAGATCTATTAGGAATGTAAGTCATACCATAAGGTCACCTCAGTTAGGCCAGTTTGACAGGAGATGGTCAGTGGGCCTCCATCACTGCAATTTTCATTTCATTTAGAGTCAGCATCTTGGATTTTGTTTGCAAGCATTTATAAACAAAGTTGTCTTCCAGAGTAGAATTTATTTAAAGTAGGTCACTAGAGTCTTAATCCCAGGCTGGCTGCTTCCTGGGAGAGTACTCATGCCATTGTCTGGACATCTGTCCCATTTTAAACAATTTTCCTCTGGCTACTGGCCTGTTTGCTTCTAAAAACTACATTCTCCCCAGGGCTCATGCAAGACTGGGCGGCTGCATCTGATATGGCATCTCATTTACAGTACACAGGGTACCTGAACAATGTACCCTCTGTGTGTCTTGGGGGTAGAGGGAGTTCCAAAGGCCTTGGGCAACTTTGTAATAATGAAACCAGCCTAAGGAAAAAAAACCCAACCTCTTTCTCACAAAGGAGACTCAAATCTCAAATCACAGTGGTACATTCCTGTGGGGCTACACGGGGTTGAGATTGCAACCCCAAACTCAACTTCAAATATCAGAGTGGTTCCCTTCAGGGACAGCTCGTGAACTGACCTGAGAGTCAGGATGGGACCGCCTGGTCTCCCTTCCATGCTCCTGCACAGGTGGCAGACTTAAGACCTGCTAAAAATCCAGCTCCTGAGCCTCCACCTTCTGCTGCTCCCTGTTTGCCTAGGGCTCTCAGTGCAGCAGCACCTTAGCAGGGCCTTCCATTTTCATCTTTTTTTAATTGGAAATTCAGATATACAGAGAATATCTTTGGTTCGCTGATTCACTCTTCAAGTAGCTGCAACAGACAGAGCTGAACCGATCTGAAGCCAGGAGCCTCTTCTGGGTCTCCCACGAGGGTGCAGGGTCCTAAGACCACAAGCAGGGAGGGAGCTGGATGGGAAGTGGGGCTGCCAGAACACAAGCTGGTACCCATATGGGATCCCAGCACGTGCAAGGAGGACTTAAGCGCTAGGCTACAGCTGGCCCTTTCCCTTCTAATTTACAACAGGCCCTCTGGCCACCCCCCTCCCCCAAAGTCTCAGTTCCTTCTGGTTGTGGAGTCCTAGCCTAGCTCAATTCTGTTTAGCAAACCAAAAACCTGGGTAAGAAACCCAGAAGCAAAGCCAAGTGGACTGTTTCTCTACATTCTGTTCCAGAGAAGGCAGGAAAATAGGACAAAGGGCAGAAGGCCAAATTTATTTAAACTTGTTTTGTTTGGTCTATATATCAAAATCAAAAATTTTAGACCCCAAATTATATTAAAAACCTGAATTGACTTTTCAAAAGTTAGGCTTCAGGCCCGGTGCTGCGGTGGCGCAAGTGGTTAAGGTCCTCGCCTTGAATGCCCGGGATCCCATATGGGCGCCGGTTCTATCCCGGCAGCCCCGCTTCCCATCCAGCTCCCTGCCTGTGGCCTGGGAAAGCAGTCGAGGACGGCCCAAAGCTTTGGGACCCTGCACCCGCGTGGGAGACCCGGAAGAGGCTCCTGGCTTCAGATCGGCATAGCATCGGCCTTTGTGGTCACTTGGGGAGTGAATCATCGGACGGAAGATCTTCCTCTCTGTATATCCGCCTTTCCAATAAAAATAAAATAAAATAAATCTTTTTTTTTTTTTAAGTTAGGCTTCTTCAACCTGATTCAGAGGTCTTTGGAAAGTTTTTAAGATTTATTTTAGCCTGAAACTCAGAAGAGAGAAAGAGCTTCCATGCTCTGATTTTTTTTAAAGATTTATTTATTTTTATTACAAAGTAAGCTAGACAGAGAGGAAGAGAGACAGAGGAAGAGCTTCCATCCAGTGATTCACTCCCCAAGTGAGCCACAATGGCTGGTGCTGTGCCGATCCAAAGCTGGGAACCAGGAGCCTCCCACGCGGGTGCAGGGTCCCAAAGCTTTGGGCCGTCCTCGACTGCTTTCCCAGGCCACAAGCAGGGAGCTGGATGGGAAGTGGAGCTGCCGGGACTAGAACCGGCACCCACATGGGATCCCGGCATTTTCAAGGCGAGGACTAGAGCTACTAGGCCAGACTGCCGGGCCCCACGCTCTGATCTAAAGCCTGAAACCAGGAGATTCCTCAAGGTCTCCCGCATAACATAGGTGCCCAAGGCCTTGTACCATCCCCTAGTGCCTTCCCAGGGCACAAGCAGGCAGTCAGATTGGGACTCAATCCAGCACTCACACTGGATGCTGGCACATGCAGGTGGAAGATTAGTAAGCTCTGTCACCACACCAGCACCAACTTGAAAGCTCTCTAAGGGTTCCTCAGGGCCTGATGAGTTCAAGTTTCTGAAACAGTGCTGCCCACTCAGGCAAACCCCCATTTTTAGGTTGTGGTAACACCCCACAACAGAGACTGTCGAAACCAGCTTCTTTGTTCCAGATCTCAGATCCTCCCAGGGTTATCTTTTTAACTCAGCTCCTTGAATTCTTAAAAGAATGTCTTGGACACATACAAAAGTGCCGTTTTTACCTACTTTGTTTCAAGGCTAGATGTGCAAAGATGAGCTAATGAGTTGCACCAACACTTGCAAAGTGAAGGGGCACATCTTTCTCTCATGACAGTGATAAGGCCAATCAACAGGCTAACATACAGCGCAGTTTGGTTTTACTTTTAAAGCGCAAGTGCACGGGCCTGTTGCAGTAGCCTAGCGGTTGAAGTCTTCACCTTGCACACACTAGGATCCCATATGGGCGCTGGTTTGAATCCTGACTGCTCCCCTTCCAATCCAGGTCTTGCTTTGCTGCTTTCCCAGGCCCTGCTTGTAGCCTGGGAAAGCAGCAAAGGATGGGCCAAAGCCTTGGGACCCTGTACCCTCGTGGGAGACCCAGAAGAAACTCCTGGCTCCTAGCTTTGTATTAGCTCAGCTCAGTCTGTTACAGCCACTTGGGGAGATATTCCTGTCTGTCTCTTTTCCTTTCTGTATATCTGATTTTCCATTAAAAAAAAAGTCTTAAAAAAAATCACAAGTGCATCAGTCAACAGATAAGAAACCAAAACACGATCACAAAGGAGTCTTCCTCACTAAAAGCACCATACTGCAGGCAGGGACATCTTCAGGTGTAACTAGTAATCACCCACATTGGCCAGGCACCTGCTTCCCCTCCTTTGCTCTGCTGGCAAAGTAAAGACCACTTCCTAGTTATGCCCTGTGGTTATCAAGAGGTTTCTTTTCCTCTCATATGTATACCAATAATTACCGAATATATTAATAATTCATCACCAGTAACCACTTTCCAAGCCCGGGGCTATCATCACTTCTCCCCTCTCATGCACTAAAACCACTCTTGGGGGACAGGCATCTGGCTTAGTGGCTAAGATGCCCAAGGGGTTCAACTCGGAATCCATACCAAGTTCCTGGGGTCAGGCCTGGTCCAATTTCATCTGTCACAGGCATATGCAGAATCAACCAGCAGATGGGCAATTTGTTTCTCAAACAAAACCAAACTTATATTCCTTACACACCACACCCGTATTTGACAAGGACCACTAAGTTCCCTGTCAGAAATGAACAGCGCAGTGCTTCAAGCGGCCTCTGTATTCTACCAGTACTAACAGAAAGCACACTGCAGGTGTGCTGTGAAACGGTAGCTGCTGTTTCACCCTTGCCCACAGCTGTGGACACGCTACCGCTAACAGGCAAAGGCAGGTACAATGACTTTAAACCACAGTGGTTTAAAGCAGAGGGCAGGAGTGGGGACATCACCAAAGACTAAGGTCTGACTGCTGTGGATAATGGGAAAGGACCGTGCACTCCAAGTGACAACCTACAAAACCTGTTAAAATAGTGTAGATTTATATAAGAACACAGCAAACTAGGAAAAACATGTTTCAGCCAACTTGAAAAGGGCTTAATCCACGCTTAGTGGGTACACAATGGCCACGAACGACCTATTTTCTCTTTGATGAATGATCTTAACCTTTACATAAAAGATGTTATGGTTTATTTAAAGACTACAGCCACAATGTACATAAAATCAAGAATACAACAAAAATATTAACTACATTGTACATTCAACCTTTCTGAAGATCCTAGTATTTTTTTTTTTTTTTAGATTTATGTATTTTTATTTGAAAAGCAGGTATACAGAGAGGAAGATCTTTCATCTGTTGATTTACTCCGCAAGTGGCCACCATGGCCAGAACTGTGCCAATCTGAAGTCAGGAACCTTCTTCCTCTCTTTTGGGGACCACATGAGTGCAGGGTCCCAAGGCTTTGGGCCCCCCTCAACTGCTTTCCCAGGCCACAAGCAAGGAGCTGGATGAGAAGCAGGGTCGCTGGGATTTAAACTGGTGTCTATATGGGATCCCAGTGTATGCAAAGCAAGGACTTTAGCCACTAGGCTCCCACGTTGGGCCCAAGATCCTAGTATTTCTAACAATTCTTGATGGTCACACAAATCTGAGTTGGCAATGACAAGGAGATACTTCCTTCACAAACTGAACACAGCACACATAGACATCCTGGGATTTCCATGAAGACTGGTGCATAAGCATCATGATACTGCCCAAGGTGTCTAAGATTGTAATGGCAACTGGCAGTTCTACACCAAAACATGACCATTAGTTTTGGAGAGTGAGGCAATCAGTGATACAAAACTGATCACGAGGGTCAGCAAACTTTCATAAAATGCAACAGAGAGGGCCAGCACGGTAACCTAGCAGCCAAAGTCCTCACTTTGCACACAAAGGGATCCCATATGGGTGCCAGTTTGTGTCCTACCCAGCTCTCTGCTTGTGGCCTGGGAAAGCAGCCAAGGATAGCCCAAAGCCTTGGGACCCTGCACCCATGTGGGAGACCCAGAGGCTCTGGGCACCTGGCTTCGGATCAGTACAGCTCCAGCTGTTGCAGCCGCTTGGGGAGTAAATCAACAGATCTTCCTCCCTCTCTCTCTCTTTTCCTTTCTGTATATCTGACTTTTCAATAAAAGATTTATTTAAAAAAAAAATGCTGGGGCCCGGCGCGGTGGTGCAAGTGGTTAAGGTCCTCGCCTTGCACACCCAGGATCCCATATGGGCGCCGGTTCTATCCCGGCAGCCCCGCTTCCCATCCAGCTCCCTGCCTGTGGCCCGGGAAAGCAGCAGAGGACAACGGCCCGAAGCTTTGGGAACCTGCACCCGTGTGGGAGACCCAGAAGAGGCTCCTGGCTTCAGATCGGCATAGCATCGGCCTTTGTGGTCACTTGGGGAGTGAATCATCGGACGGAAGATCTTCCTCTCTGTCTCTCCTCTCTGTATATTCGCCTTTCCAATGAAAAAATAATAATAATAAAAATAAATCTTTAAAAAAAGATAGCTGACTTTACTTAAAAAAGAAATGCAACAGAGTAACCATGCTAGGCTCTTTAGCTAAAGACAGTCTATGAGTTTACTTAGCAACCTTTAAGGTCATTTTTACTTCCAACATAAAAACCAGGCTTAGGATCAGATTTCACCCACACATGTAATTTGCTGTCTTTGGTAAAAGAATGGGAACTCTGACATATGAACTTTTCTATTAAAGTAAATTTGGGACAATTGAAAGGTGAAGGCAACTACTATTATGGGATAACCTGAACAGCTCACAGCAAATAAACAGAATACAATAAAGCTATATGTGATACAATATTAAATGAAAGAAAAATAAGGGGGATGGACACAAAAAGGAAATGAAAAAAATCCCATGAAAATGTCTGAGGGTATCTTACACATCAAAAAGTTTTCAATTTTGGGCCCGGCAGCGTGGCCTAGAGGCTAAAGTCCTCGCCTTAAATGCGCTAGGATCCCATATGGGCGCCGGTTCTAATTCGGGCAGCTCCACTTCCAACCAGCTCCCTGCTTGTGGCCTGGGAAAGCAGTCGAGGATGGCCCAAAGCCTTGGGACCCTGCACCCGTGTGGGATACCCAGAAGAAGTTCCTGGTACCCGGCTTTGGATCGGCACAGCACCAGCCATCGTGGCTCACTTGGGGAGTGAATCACTGGATGGAAGCTCTTCCTCTCTGTCTCTCCTCCTCTCTGTGTATCTGACTTTCCAATAAATAAATAAATCTTAAAAGAAAAAAGTTTTCAATTTATTCTACTGCAGGGAGGAAGGTGAAAACAGAAGTAGAGTCTGGGGCCCGGCGCGGTGGCGCAAGTGGTTAAGTCCTCGCCTTGCACGCCCGGGATCCCATATGGGCGCCGGTTCTAATCCCGGCAGCCCCGCTTCCCTTCCAGCTCCCTGCCTGTGGCCCGGGAAAGCAGTCGAGGACGGCCCAAAGCTTTGGGACCCTGCACCCGCGTGGGAGACCCAGAACAGGCTCCTGGCTTCGGATCGGCATAGTATCGGCCCGTTGCGGCTCACTTGGGGAGTGAATCATCGGACGGAAGATCTTCCTCTCTGTCTCTCCTCTCTGTATATCCGCCTTTCCAATAAAAAAAAGAAGAAAAAAAAAAAAAAGAAAAAAAAAAAGAAGTAGAGTCTGTAATAGAACTGAGGCACCATTTCTGGTTAACTTTAGTCACAGCAATTAGGAGAGGGAATCCTCCAGTAGCTGACGGGTGGGCCCCTCAACAGCCTGCAGTGAGCTATAACATGCCCTAACAGTCTTTCCATGTTACACATACACAAACATTAAATCATTTAATGTTAAGTGACCAAACACATTTTAAGTCCACAAAAGCAAACTATTTACTGTCTATCATAACTTACTTTTATTGAAAGTTATCTCACATTCATAAAGGACATTTTCTGGATTCTACCACATATTTTAACGTTAAATGTTATTTTTGACATGCAAGTAGAGTGAAGAGTGTTCCCCACATGGGAAAAGATTATAAAAAGATGACATACCACTTGAATTAAATGTCTTTTTTAATTGAAAAGCTAACAAACTAGTTACACCCTCCCTTCCCCCGCCAAAAAAACCCCCACAAACCAGGTAGTGACTGAGACAACATGTTCAAAGCCGAGAGGATTAAAGTAAGAGCAGGTCCTCAGATGCAACTGAGGGAGCCCAGCTCCATACAGCCAAGTCAGCCTCAGGGGCACCGACAGACCACACAGCTGGGAGACACCCTGACAGCCCCACTCAGGACACAGACTGCAAATAGCCTCTGTTCAGTATCCAACTCATGAATAAAGATATTTTCTTCATTCTTTTTCAGAAAACTTCTTGAAAGTTGTTTTATTTACAATGCTAACTTTTAAAAGTTCACTCAAGTTAACTGACAATAAACTAGGCAGAAATGGCTTTAGAAGAGGGAAAGCCCAAAATGTCACTTTCTATCAAGAACCCACAGTTGTTTTATTCAGAGCAAAGAAAACAGGAACTTTCGATCATAGTAGAGGAAACTCAGGTTTGGAATCTGTACTCAATAACTACACATGCAGTGAGGACAATATTCTGCCAGAACAAATGATTTGCTGCTGCATTTGTCTACTGTTTGCCTAATATTAACAATTATAAACAGAGCAGTGCAACTAGTATTTGGAACAATCCTTACAATGTTACAGTGTCAGGCACAACATTTCACTTCTCTTCACACCACTGGTTCTCTTTGCGTACCTAGAAGACAAAGATATAAGGAAGCACCTTACTTGAGTACTCTTTCCTAAGATGTGTGAACACTGCCGACTGCTGAGCAGCCTGAGTTGGGACAGCAAATTGGAAAATAAGAAACATCAAGCTAGTACTTTACTTTCTGATGCCCTGACTGCATGTCCAGGTTGTCACTTTGTCCTACTGGCAGCAAGTCCATTTAGATCATTCACATAATTTCTGCATGTAGCCATGTCAGCAAAATCATTTTGATCTATGCGCTCACAAAACTTCTCACTAAGTTACTCGGATGTATCCTGGCATACATTTAGAGAGGGCCTGCTTTCCTGAAATCAAATACACATGGACTGCATTAAAGTCCTAAGTAGTAAAACTATGACCCGATGAACACAAAAGAGCACCGTTTGTTGAAAATTGAAGTTGCTTTCAGAAGAGCAGTGTGTTCTAAACAGAGAGTTGCTCAAGGGCCTCAGACTCCATGCTGCACACATTGCCGGCCTTGCAGGTCAGTGGTCTCGGCCTCTGACACAGCGTGGGTTGACGGTGTGCTACCTACCTGGGCTTCTTCTTCTTCAGTGAAGTCGTTCTTTATATTGAAGGTCTTGCGGATCTCCTCAGGGGTCTTTCCCTTGATCATGTTGGCAACAGTCTTGCATGTAACATCAAGCAAACCTTTGATGTCTAAGTAGTTTGCAGCCTATAAGGTGAGAGTTGTTTTCATTAAAGCTTATATAATGTTTTGAACTATACCCGAAGTTAGTAATTAACAATTTACCAGCCTAAGATGCTGACTGATTCTAAGAAATCCAAAAACTACAGTTAGCCCTACTTATCTGTGAAATCCACATCCATAGATTCAACTGAGGACAGAAATATATTTAGAGAAAAAACTACATCTTCACTAACACATACTTTCTTATTCCCCAAACCTGACAGAGAAACAACTGTTTATAATACATTTATTAAGACAACATAACATGAGCACTTTGAGGGGGTCCTGGAACCAAATCCAAGACAGAAAGGGGCAATTACAAATCACACTAATTTTTCTGTGAAAAATTAGGTATTTTTGTACATAATGTTTCTGTCGTTTGCTGTAATGCGGAGTCTTTGTGCCGCCCATCCCTGGACCACAGCCTCGCCTACTTCGTGTGTGCATGCACAAACATGTACACGTATATGCACATGCATGCAAGCACCACATGCCAGGTTCCAGCAAAAACAATTATCCAAGGCTCTGCAAAAAGCGAATGTTTTGCTCTATTAATTTTTTCTGTGTTTATGTTGTCTATTTTAGCAAGTTTTGTTTTCAATACTTTCATTCTTCTGTTAAAGTTTAACTGAGGCTTAAATTTCAAAAATTTGTACATTGATCCTGATGTTCTTCTACTATTGACTTCTAATGCTACTGAGGAGAGAACACACAATTTGTATCACTTAAATGGTATGTTTTATGACCCAGAACATGGTCTATAATGTGAATACACTCTTGGATATGTGCAGCTGTCATTAGACATGATGTGCCAATACGTTCATTAAAACAAGTTCATCAATACTGTTACTCAAATGTGCTATAGCCTTACTGATTTCCTATTTATTCCACTAATTCTTAAGAAACAGGTACTGGGCCTGGCATGGTAGCCTAGGGGCTAAAGTCCTCGCCTTGCCATCTGTCAGGATCCCATATGAGTGCCAGGTTCTAATCCCAGCAGCCCCACTTCCCATCCAGCTCCCTGCTTGTGGCCTGGGAAAGCAACAGAGGATTCAAAAGAGGCTCCAGGATCCTGGTTTTGGATTGCAGCAGCTCCGGCAGTTGCAGTCACTTGGCGAATGAATCAGTGGATGAAAGATCTTCCTTTCTGACTCTCCTCCTTTCTGTATACCTGACTTTCCGATAAAAATAAATATAGAAAAAAAAGTGAAAAAAGTGGTGGCTTTACATGTTATTCCATCCTGCTGGCCACAAATTAAAAAAAAAAAAAAAAGGAGGAGGAAACAGATATTGAAATCTGTGATAGAAGAGTTCCCTATTTCTCCTTTGAAGCTTACCAAGTTTTGCTTCCATTTTTGGAAGTTTTGCTTATAGGTAGATAAATGTTATCTACAAGGATGCTAGCATTATGAAATAACTATTACCTCAGTAACATTTAATGTTGAATACTAACATATTGATTTAAATAAATTAACGGACGGAAGATCATCCTCTGTCACACGTCTTTTCTGTATATTTCAATTTTCAATAAAAACAAACCTTTATAAAAATGAATAGAAATGAATAAACACATTAAAGTTAAATTCAAAGCCTTAAATTTCAGTATTAATGAATATAGTAAATTTAGTTAGAAGAAATTATAAAGACTGGAATACAGCTATATTACATTATTAAAAACATACCAGAATAAGCTCAAAAAGTGTTCCTTGGTCAACTTTCAGAAATTCTTGGTCCCAAACGGGGATATCATCTGTTCGCTTTTCCTTGTTCTCATCATCTTCAGGAGGAGGGGGGTCATCCTTGTGGTGGGTGCACCATTGAATGACCTACAATAACACAAGTTCAATCCTGTGCAGTATTTTATTACAAAGTACTCTTTCCCCTACTGGGGCAACATTACATCTACACCAGGATAAGAATTAGGACAAAAATTAATAGGTAAGCACGAAAACAAAAACGATCTCAAAAACTCTTTATAATCCTATATGGTACGAGGTCTTATCAATCAAAAGGAAACCATGCACACCATACACTTAGTGGGAGATGAAGCCAACACATGAGACTCCAGCCTCCTGGATTAGACTGCCAACTCCAGTGCCGACAGCTCTGCTTCCCAGCCAATGTCCTGCTAGGGCACCTAGGGATATGGCAGAACACAGCCCAAGTGCTCGGGCCCCTGCTACACATGAGGGTGCCACAGACAGAGTCCCAGGCCCACCTGGCCGAGCCCCAGCTGTCTCAAATTCTTTGGAAGTGAATCAGAAGGTAAATCTCCATATATACATATGCCTTGTAAATAAAATGGAAATTAAGTTTTATGATACAGTTCAGTTGGTTGCTGGGGTCTCCCTTCCCCCTCAACCAAGTTCCCTCCCCATCACAATGGCTGGCTTTCATGATTTTCCCAAGTCCATCATGCTGCCGCTCACTGTCACTTCATACTTACCCGCACCTTCTGTACTAAGATTTTGTGATGTAATTCATTAATCGACCAAGCATAGAGGCTGGTTGTTTATAATTATCTGAGATGGTCAAAGTCCCTTTTATTGATGTTATTGGTACTACCCATGAATAACAAAGATCCAGTCCTCACTGTACCTCCATTAGGGTACAAGAATGAACTCACAGCAAAATGACCATCTCCTACCATAGAAATCAAGTTTTTAAAGACAAGTATAGGTAATAAGCAAAAGAAATCTGAATATCCAAATACTAGGGAATGTTCAACCTCATTAGACATAAAAACACTAATCACACTACTATCAACTGCCAAAGACCAAAATAATCCAATTCCAGAACTCAGTGGTGTTAACTGTTAGCAACACTATGCAGCACTCATACTCTTGACTATACAGTGTAAACTGGTATTTGGGCCCGGTGCGGTGGCGCAGTGGTTAAAGGTCCTCGCCTTGCACACCCGGGATCCCATATGGGCGCCGGTTCTAATCCCGGCAGCTCCACTTCCCATCCAGCTCCCTGCCTGTGGCCTGGGAAAGCAGTCGAGGATGGCCCAAAGCTTTGAGACCCTGCACCCGCGTGGGAGACCCGGAAGAAGCTCCTGGCTTCGGATCAGCAGAGCATCGGCCGTTGCGGCCACTTGGGGAGTGAATCATTGGACGGAAGATCTTCCTCTCTGTCTCTCCTCTCTGTATATCCGCCTTTCTGATAAAAATAAATCTTAAAAAAAAAAAAAAAAAAAACTGGTATTAACCTCTCTGAAAATTCTGACAGTATCTAGAATGTGCAAATATGTGCATGTGTTTAAGAAAAAGCCGAGTCTGGTGCGGTAAGCCTAGCGGTTAAGTTCGCGACTTGCAACGCTGGCATTCCATATAGGCGCCAATTCATGTCCCGGTGGACTAAATCCCATCCAGCTCCCTGCTTGTGGCCTGGGAAAGCAGTTAAGGATGGCCCAAAGCCTTGGGACCCTGCAGCCACATGGGAAACCCAGAGGAGGCTCCAGGCTCAGGATGGGTGCAGCTCTGACCTTTGCAGCGCCTGGGGAGTAAATCAACAGATGGATGATCTTCCTTTCTGCATATCTGACTTTCCAATAAAAATAAATCGTGAAAAAAAAGGGGGGGGGGGACACAGCGGCCTGCCACAGCCACACTGGGGGTTTTGCTTTAAATTAGCCGATCAATTGATCTGAAAGGCAAAGAAAGCATCCGAGAAAGGGAGAGACAAAGACCTTGCATCTCCTGGTTCACTCTACAAATGGCTTCAACAGCCAGGACTGAACTGGGGTAAAGGCAGGGCCAGGAACTCCATTCTGGTTTCCTACATGAGTGACAGAGACGCAGATTCTCTAATCAGGATGTCATTTAGGTGTCTTTGTCTATCAGCTACTTATATAAATTGTGGCAAATTCTGGCTCAAACTTTGGAGGTTCAAAATTGAAGATCAGATCATCTCAACTGGTTCAACTGACTGGTAAGGTCAGAGATGGCAACAGCACAGCACATGAGGACAAACAATCCCACAGTGAGTCAGGATGCAGAGCATGCTCATCATCAGCTCCCAAAGCAGTAACTTCCTTCCAAGAAAGGCACTGTGGCATACGGGTCAGGCCCCCACTTTGGAGTGCTTGGCTTGATTCCTGGCTCCTTCACTTCTGACCTAGCTTCCTGCTACACTGCACCCTACTAGACAGCAGGTGATAGCTGAGGTACTTGGGTCCCCAAACATCCATGTGGGAGACCTGTACTGAGTTTGGGGGCTTCTGGTTCAATCTGACCCAGACCTGGAAGATACACACATTTGGGGACCAAACAAGCAGATGGAAGCTTCAGCCTCCCTCTCCCTTAGGCTCTTATTTTTTTTTTCCAAACATATATTTGTTTTTATTGGAAAAGCAGATCAATTTATGTAGAGAAGGAGATACAAAAAGAGCTTCCATGTGCTGGTTCACTCCCCTAATGCCTGCATCAGCCGGAGCAAAGCTAATTCAAAGACGGGCATCCGGAGCTTCTTGCTAGTCTCCCATTCATTCCCATACAGGATCCCAAAGCTTAGAAAACATCCTCTAATGCTTTCCTAGGCGATAAGCAGGGAGCTGAATAGAAGTGGGGCAGTCAGTTATGAATCAGTGGCCATATAGGATCCCCAGGCTTGCAAGGTGAGAAGTGAGGATTGAGCCATTGAGCCATTGCACCAGGCCTGAAACTATGCCTTTCAAATAAAAAAAACCTTTAAAAAAAAATCATCTTCTATATTGGATACTCTTACCTGTCCTGCCCTTTCACATAGAATGGAAAAAAAAAAAAAAAAACAAACCTTTAAAAATGTTTTGCAATAAGAAAAGTCAGGGTCAGTGCAGCAATGTTCGTTAAATCCGCCTGCAGCGCTAACATCCCATTTGGGCACCATTTCTAGTCCCAGCTGCTCCACTTCCTATCTAGCTCCCCACTGATGGTCCAAGAAAGCCACAGAAGATGACCCGAGTCCTGGGAACCCTGGCACCCATGCAGGACACCCAGAAGCTCCCAACTCCTAGCTTCGGATTGGCTGGGTTTCAGCTGCTGCAGCCATTTGCAGAATGAATTGACAAACAGAAGACCTCTCTCTGTAACTCTTCCATACAAATAAGAGTAATAAATCTTTAAAGCCATTGTTTGACTTCATAGGACATCACTTAGGCAGCCAGTGCCATGGTATAATATGCTAGCCTCTGCCTGTGGCACTGGCATCCCACATGAGTGCTGATTCATACCCTGGCTCTTCCACTTCCAAATCAGTTCCCTGCTACTGCACCTGGAAAAGGTTTCCTAAGTCCATGGGACCCTGTACTACATGAAAGACCAGAAACAAGTTCCTGGCTCCTGGCTTCAGACTGGCCCAACTCCTACGGCTGTGGCCATTTGGGGAGTGAACTAGCAGATGGAAAAGCTTTCTCTCTTTGTAATTCTGCATTTCAAATAAAGAAATCAATCTTCAAACAAAAATTAAGGGACTGCTGTTTGACTTCACAATTAAGACATCACTTGTGGTGCCCAGCGTGGTAGCCTTACACGTGCCAGGATCCCATATGGGCGCTGGTTCTAATCCTGTTCCCATCCAGTTCCCTGCCTGTGACCTGGGAATGCAGTCAAGGATGGCCCAAAGCCTTGGGACCCTGCATCCGAACAGGAGACGTGGAACAAGCTCCTGACTCCTGGCTTTAGGTTGGCTCAGCTCCAGCCATTGCAGTCCTTGGGGAGTGAACCAGTGGATAGAAGATCTTTCTCTCTGTATCTCGTCTCTGTATATGTGCCTTCCAATATAAAAAATCCTTAAAAAAATTTTTATTAAACAGTAAATTCTAACATCCCTGAATTATTCATATTCATCAATTAATACATTTTTAAGCCAAATAGTTCAGTGACATGAGCTCAAGTGTGCACATATATAAGCAGAAAGGTAAACATAGATATCCCAATAAAATGCACAGCAGAATGAAGTCAAATGTGGCTTGAATTTATTCAGGAATTTTTGGTCTAAAACATATTACCTACTTTTCCCATCTGATCAGGATTATATGCTAGATACAGAAACACAGAAAGAATGGAAGCATGTAAAAGGATTTAACTAAAAGCTAAGTTCATTCAAAACTTTAAATAACCTCAACTATAAATATTAAACCCTTGAAAGACCTTACCTTTTTTAATATTGCTGCATTAACATTTGGTAGAGGAACTGGGTCATCATCTCCTTCATCATCCATTCCCAAATCTAAGAAAACAAGAGAGGTGCCATTACTTTCTAACTCTTAATACTGCAACCAGAGTATGCCTCAAACAACTTGCAACATGTTGTACAAAAGTATTTTACTGGGCTTAGCACAGTAGCTTGGTGGCTAAAGTCCTTGCCTTGAACATGCCCAGGATCCCATATGGACGTCAGTTTGTGTCTCAGTTGCTTCACTTTCCTTCTAGCTCCCTGCTTGTGGGCTGAAAAGGCAGTTCAGGACAGCCCAAAGCCTTGGGACCCTGCACCCACATGGGAGACCCAAAAGCAGCTCCTGGCTTTGGATCGGCTCAGCTCTGGCCATTGTGGTGACTTGGGAAACGAACCAGTGGATGGAAGAGGTTTAATTCTGATTTACCAATAAAAATAATTCTTTAAAAAAAAAGGGGGGGGGGGGTGCACCAGGCGCAATGACCTAGCAACTCAAGTTCTCACCTTGAAAGCGCCAGGATCCCAAATGGGCACCAATCCTAATCCCAACAGCCCCACTTCCCATCTAGCTTCCTGCTTGTGGCCTGGGAAAGCAATCGAGGATGGTCTAAAGTTTTGGGACGCTGTAACCACGTGGGAGACCTAGAGTAAGCTCTGGGTTCTTGGTTTTGAACTGGCTCAGCTCCAGCCACTGCAGTCCTTGGGGAGTGAACCATCCGATGGAAGATCTTTCTGTCTTTACTCCTATCTGTACAACTGCCTTTTTAATGAAAATAAATCTTAAAAAAAGAAAAAGAAAAAAACACTTTACTAAAAACAGTTGTCTTATATGCATTCAGTTTGTGGTTCCCAACAACAGATCCATGAAACATCCTCAACTACGAAGGCTAGGTGAATATATGAATACACAATTCCGGTCTACAGCCATACCAGCCTGAACATGCCCAATCTCACCTCATTAAGGGGTACTGGGAAAAAAGAAAAAACAAAAAACCAACCGTAATTATATTTGAGTTTAAACAATGGGACATCCACCCAGAAAAAAAATCTGAAGCTGACCCCTCACTGTTTTCTTCACACGATTTTCTTTAGATAGAATACATTTAGAATATGAAAGCAACAAAAGTTATCCCAAAGAACAAAAACAAGATAGGATATTTTGTTAACACTGGTATGATCTCAAAAACAGTTTGATAAGAGTCCTATTTAAAAAACAACAACATAAAAAAAAACCTGTTATTTTACTTCAGTTACAGAGAGAGATTTTCCATCTACTGTTTCATTCCCCAAATGGCCACAATGGCCAGAGCAGGGTTGATCTGAAGCCAGGAGCCAGCAGGGTGCTGATTGGAATTGGAGCAGCTGGCACTTGAAATGGCACCTATATGGGATGCTGGTCTGTCACCACAGCCTCCAAAATTAAAAAAAATTTAAAGGCATGTATACAAAGATGTTGTGTAAGTAAGAGCAGGACTGTGTTTATGTGTTTATTTCAAACATCTTCAGACAGATTCCTCAGAAGCTTTCTACCTACTAAAATTAAAGAGAACATGGGTGGAGGGATTTACATTCAACATTTCAACTTTCAGGCCATTTATCACATATATATTATCCCTAACACTGACTTGCCAAGCTTCTCCGTTACAAAGGTCTAATTTTTAGATTCTCAATTGGCTGTTATCCATGATGCAGACATGGCCACTGCTGAGTCCAGTTTCTCTTTTTTTTTAAGATGTATTTATTTTTAGGGCCCGGCGGCATGGCTTAGCGGCTGAAGTCCTCGCCTTGAACACACCGGGATCCCATATGGATACTGGTTCTAATCCCGGCAGCTCCACTTCCCATCCAGTATGAGACACCTGGATGAAGCTCCTGGTTCCCGGCTTCTGATCAGTGCAGCTCCGGGTGTTGTGGCTTCTAGGGGAGTGAATCATATGACAGAAGATCTTTCTGTCTCTTCTTCTCCCTGTATATCTGATTTTGCAATAAAAATAAATCAATCTTCACACACAAAAAAAATTTCAGTATATACAGAGAGGAGAAGAGACAGAGAGGAAGGATTCCATCCAATGATTCACTCCCCAAGTGACCGCAATGGCCGGTACTGCGCCGATCCAAAGCCGGGAGCCAGAAACTTCTTTCTAGGTCTCCCATGCGGGTGCAGGGTCCCAAAGCATTGGGCCGTCCTCGACTGCTTTCCCGGGCCACAAGCAGGGAGCTGGATGAGAAATGGAGCTGCCGGGATTAGAACCAGTGTCCACATGGGATCCCGGCGCGTTCAAGGCGAGGACTTTAGCCACTAGGCCACGCTGCCGGGCCCTTAGTCCAGTCTCTATATACATCAGGTACTCTTCCATGCACTGGAGTCAACAACAGATGGAGGAATCGCTGTCAGTTTTAAAGACTTATTTATTTGAAAGGCAGAGAAAGAGGGGAAGATCTTCATCCACTGGTTCTCTCTCCAGATGGCTGCAACAGTTGGAGGTGGGCCAATCAAAAGGGAGGAGCTTCTTCCTGCCTCCAATGTAACTGGAACGGCCCAAGTACTTGGGCTAACTCCACTAGTTTCTCAAGTGCATTAGCAGGGAGCAGAATAGGAAGTGGAACAGCAGCGACTTCAACCAGTACCCATACGGGATGGCAGCGCTGCAGGCAGCAGCTGTACATGCTATGCTACACTGTGAACACAATTTTAAATTAAATGATTTTGAATTGCAGAGGGACCAGCCTAACAGCACAATATGCTGATCCTTCACCTGCTGTGCTGGAATCCCATATGGGCAACAGTTTGTGTCCTGGCTGCTCCACTTCCCATCTGGCTTCTTGCTTGAAACCTGGGAAAGCCGCAGAGGATGGTGAGTGCCCTTGAGCCCCTGCACCCACATGGGAGGCCTGGAGAAAGCTCCTGGCTTCAGAACAGCTTACTTCTGTCCATTGCAGCCATTTGGGAAGGTCAATCAGTGGGAGGAAAACCTTCTCTGTAAAACTGCCTTTCAAATAAAAATATATGTTAAAAAAAAAAAAACTGAAAGATTTTTAAAACTGCGCTTAGTACCCTGCCTAGAAGATGGAATGTGCAGGCATATCTGGTCCAGTGCAGCAGCACTAACAATGTAAGGCAGAGCAAAGGGGAAGAGCAAGTAACAGGTGCTGGATCACCAAGTACGCAGTCAACACTCCCAGCACGAAACAGTGATTGCACAAGGTTGGTAACCAACAAGGAAATAAAAACTGGTAAAATTCTCTATGTGTTTTAATAGTCAACAACCTACAAACCAAACAGAAGTATTATGTAACATGAAAGGAATCAGGGAATATTAGTTTATGACTTGAGAGGGATGGAGCCAGCACTAGAACTGTCACTGATAATGCAAAGTCTTCCAGAACTGCTGTTTTTAGCAGAGGGGAGCAAGAGCTCTAATGTGGTACATTTGATTTATCACACATCCAATGGTGGTTCTACGTGGGAAGTTTAGAAATGAAGAGACATCAAAACAGTCTGGGAACTGCTGTACAAAGTTGATAGAAGTTATGAAAATGTGACCAGTGAGCTGAATACAAATACAGTACAGAGAATCAAAGATTAAGCCCTAAGGAATGGCAGGCTTCAAAGATGAAAAACAAGGCTACTGAGTGAAATCCAACACCACATGGTACTTCTGGGGCAGTGAGTTAAGCCACCACCTTTGATACCAATGTCAAAAAGCAGCATTTCTACACTGGTTTGAGACCTGCTGCTCCACCTCTGATCCAACCTTCTGGTGGTGTGCCTGGAACAGCAGAAGATGGCCCAAGGCCTTAGCCCCCTGCACTCACTCACATGGGAGAGCTGGATGCAATTTCTGATACCTGGCCCAGCCTGGCCCTTCTGACCACTTGAGGGAGTTAACCAGCAGATCAAAGACGGAGCTCTCTTCTCCTCACCCTCCCTCCTTCTGTAACTATCTTTCAAATAAAACACATAAATTCCGAAATACAAAAAAGAAAGAAAAAGAAAATACAATGGAATTCAGGTGAAGAATGATCAAGCATCAAATGCTCTCAACAAGACAGGAAAGAACTGAAAACAGACAAGGCAGCTAATGACAGAGGTCACCGAGCTCCACAAGCACCTCTAACGGATGGGTACAGACCAGAGCACATCTTTTTTTATGACATGGTTGGACTCCCCAAGTCATCCTCCCCTCCCCCTTCCACGCATGTCCCCTAGTCCCATTTCAGGTTACAGTAAACCACAAGGGGCCAGCACTGTGGTATAGTAAACTAGCCCACTGGCTCAGCTCTGGTCATTGCTCATTTGGGGAGTGAACTAGCAGAAGCAAGATCTGTCTCTCCGCTCCGTAAAATTGGCCTTCCAATTTTAAAAACAATTTACTAAGATCATTATGGATGTAAAAGACTACCTCTCTCCAGCATTTAAAGACTATGCAAAATGTTCTGCCTTTAGACTAAATGCACAAGTAGCAAGTCTTTTAAACTATGTAATTTCAGGCCTGGCACAGTAGCCTAGTGGCTAAAGTCCTTGCCTTGCACGGGCCAGGATCCCATATGGGCGCCAGTACTAATCTCAGCAGCCCCACTTCCCATCCAGCTCCCTGCTTGTGGCCTGGGAAAGTAGTCAAGGATGGCCCAAAGCCTTGGGACCCTGCACCCGTGTGGGAGACCTGGAAGAAGTTCCTGGCTCCAGATTGGCTCATCACCGGCTGTGGTAGTCATTTGGAGAGTGAACCAACAGACTGAAGATCTGTCTCTCTCCTCTTCTCTGTATATCTGACTTTCCAATTAAAAAAAACAAACAACTGTGTAGTTTTAAGGACTTCTGGAAGACATCTGGATCCTGATAGTACATTCTGGACCTGAACAAATTAGTCATCCACAAGTATGCATGTCAAGATTTTCACTTCTCACTGTAATGTAAAACTAAGAGCCAAAGATACTGCAAAATGCAAAACAGGCTATGAAACGATGTCATAAAATGAAATGCAATTAAAAAAATGCAAAACAGGGAAAGCACTAAGTTGCACAGTCAAGAAAGAGTAATACTCAAAGGGCTAGACTTTCACATTAGCTACTGGTGAGGAAGATAAAGCCATTCACCCCTAACCTGCAAAAGCTATAGTGGGAAAAAATTCATCTACTGTTTCCTACCAGTGCACTCACTGCCTGATCAACACTGGAATGAAAACCTTCAGGGAGCCCTCTGTTGCTAAGACTGGCAAACGCTTCTTGGAAGCAATACAAGAAAGGAGAGTGCGGAAGGCATCACTTCAGATGAAGCAAGGAGCGCTCTCACTGCCACGGTTACAAGGGATGGGGGGAGCAACACTTCGGTTTTCACTTTTTTTTTTGGCTATCACTTTCTTTTTTTTTTTTTTATTAATTTTTCATTGGAAAGGTGGATATACAGAGAGGAGAGACAGGGAGGAAGATCTTCCGTCCAAGGATTCACTCCCCAAGTGAGCGCAACGGGCCGATACTATGCCGATCCGAAGCCAGGAGCCTCTTCCGGGTCTCCCACGCGGGTGCAGGGTCCCAAAGCTTTGGGCTGTCCTCGACTGCTTTCCCAGTTGGCTATCACTTTCTACACCCTTTGCATACATTCTCACTCACCTTCTTTTACAAACACTCAGACGATTTTTTTTTTTAAGCCAGGAGTTTCCTCTGTGTCTCCCACACAGGTGCAAGGTCCCAAGACTGTGGGTCATTGTCTACTGCTCTCCCAGGCCATAATTCGGGAGATGGATGGAAAGTGAAGCAGTCAGGACACACACCAGCACCCATACCGGATGCCAGCGCTTGCAGGCAGAACATCAGCCAACTGAGCTATCACAAAGATCTCTACTTTCAGGCCTTTCCAATGATCACACCATTACTTCTTCAAGCAGTTGACAACTTAACCAAAGTATCTACATAAATAAGTCAGTAGGACACATGACTCTAAGCACCACAGGATTATCACACATTACCAAAAACAGGTTTGGCTTTTGCCAGAAAAAGAAAGCATCTACTGAGAAAACAGAGGACATACCCTCCACATTGGGATTCAGCCTTTAACTCACTAACTGTAGAAACCTAGTCACTTGTCCAGTGAATGAACCTGCCCGTATCCTCTTTGCTCTTGGCTTCCATAAATCCCATCACTCACTCACATTTGACTTGTATTTTTTTTAAGATCCATTTATTTTTATTGGAAAGTAAAATATACTGAAAGGAGGAGAGACAGAAAATATCTTCCCTCCGATAATTCTCTCCCCATGTGAGCGCAATGGCCGGTGCTATGCCAATCTGGAGCTACGAGCCCAGAACTACTTCCAGGTTTCTTACACAGGTGCAGAATGCCAAGGCTTTGGGCCATCCTCAACTGCTTTCCCAGGCCACAAGCAGGGAACTGGATGGGAAGCAGGGCTGCTGGGATTAGAACTGGCGTCTATACAGGATCCTGTCATGCGCAAGGTGAACACTTCAGCAGCTAGGCCATCGCATCAGATCCAGCTTTTCTATTCTTAACAACTTGGCCCTGCTCCACCCTTATGTTCTTCCACAGCTGTATTCCCATAATCCATCAAGGAAGGCAAATCTACCTTCAGCAGTCTTTTTGGGACCAAGAGCCACACAACTCAATAGAGTGGTACAGATCTCTGCAAGAAAACTCATTTTTTTTTTTATTATTTTTTTTTTATTGGAAAGGCAGATATACAGAGAGGAGGAGAGACAGAGAGGAAGATCTTCCGTCCGATGATTCACTCCCCAAGTGAGCGCAAAGGGCCGATACTATGCCAATCCGAAGCCAGGAGCCTCTTCCGGGTCTCCCACGCGGGTGCAGGTTCCCAAAGCTTTGGGCCGTCCTCGACTGCTTTCCCGGGCCACAGGCAGGGAGCTGGAAGGGAAGCGGGGCTGCCGGGACTAGAACCGGCACCCATATGGGATCCTGGGCGTGCAAGGTGAGGACCTTTAACCACTTGCGCCACCGCGCCGGGCCCGAAAACTCATTTTTAACTACACAAATATATTATCAGAATCGCCACTACAAGCTTTTCACTCTATCAAAGCACATCCAGCATACTGTCTCTCAAACATCCTGCTCTCACTGTATGCGTATCACTTCACTGATGCCACACACTGCCGTCTAGGGAGTGACACCAGGCAGGATGCTCTTACGATGTCACTCAGCACATGACTGCATGTGTGGATTGGACTCTGCAGCCGTCCACCCTGCTCTGCATCTGGTCCCCCTTTTGTTTATATACTGTTCCAGGGTAAAGATCACATTCCACCATCGTTTTACCGGCACAGTTACTGCTTGGCCCATAACCCTCATTTAACCATTTCTAAGTCACAGACATTCCCTACTTAAGCATCTCTGATATTTAAGTACCCAAGAGCATTCTTACTATTCAGTTTTGGTTTTTTTCGATTCTAGACATTGAATTGCAGGTCTGCATACACCATTAATGACCACTCCAACAAGAGTGATGCATGATGAAAAAATAATAAAAATAAATAAATAAATAAAAATGCTGGTTCTAATCCCGGAAGCCCCGCTTCCCTTCCAGCCGCTGCCTGTGGCCTGGGAAAGCAGTCGAGGACGGCCCAAAGCTTTGGGAACCTGCACCCGCGTGGGAGACCCGGAAGAGGCTCCTGGCTTCGGATCGGCATAGTATCGGCCCGTTGCGCTCACTTGGGGAGTGAATCATCGGACGGAAGATCTTCCTCTCTGTCTCTCCTCTCTGTATATCCACCTTTCCAATAAAAAAATAATAAAATAAATAAATAAATAAAGAGTGATGCATGTTAGCTAGTAATTTTCCAAACTTTTAGGACTTAGTGTATTTTTTCCTTTTTTCCTTTACTTTGTTGGGCTGCTTATACACTTTGAAGCAATTTTAGAGAAATAAAACAAATGAGAACAGTCACTAAAAGAAAATACATGTATATTTACCTACACAGCTTACCCTTCAGAGCTTACTCCTTTTCTGGCAAAGAGTAAGCTGGGAAAGCTGTGCAAGATACTCTCCACTCCGTGTCCCTGACTGGTTATCACAGAGCAAGGCAGTGCCTTTTCCAGAGGCTTGCATTTCTGTCAAGAATTCCAAACAGGAGCTAGCAGAATGGCATACAAGCTAATCCTCTCCCTTGGGGCATCGCCATCCCATATGGATGCCAGTTCTGTCCAGCTGCTCCACTTCCCATCCAGCTCCCTGTTTATTGCCTGAGAAAGCAGTCGAGGACAGCCCAAGCCCTGGGACCCTGCACCCACATGAAAGACTCAGAAGAAGCTTCTAGCTCCTGGCTTTGCATCAGCTCAGCTCCAGCCATTGTGGCCATTTGGGGAATGAATCAGCAGATAAAAGACCTCCCTGTCTCTTTTTTTGTAAAATCTGCATTTCAAATTTAAAAATTAATTTAAAAATTGCTTCAAATAGCTCTTTCAAGTATAAGACTTGGAAGTCATTTCAGTATTTGTTGGCCAATTTTTTTAAAAAAATTATTTTTTTATTGGAAAGTCAGACATACAAGAAAGGAGAGAAAGATCTTCCATCCACTAATTCACTCCCCAAGTGGCTGCAAAGGCCAGAACCGAACTGAACTGGGCCAAACCAATCTGAATCCAGGAGCCAGGAGCCTCTTCCAGGTCCACCATGCGGGCACAAGGTCCAAAGGCTTGGGCCATCCTTACTGCCTTCTCAGGCCACAAGCAGGGCAGGGAGCTGTATAGGAAGCAGCATCACCAGGATACTAGCCAGCACCCCTATGGGATCCTGACACAGGCAAGACGAGGACTTTAGCTATTAGCCTACCGCTCTGGGCCCTGGCCTATTGTTTTTATCCATTTGATTTAATAATGAAACAATCTTGTTAATCCAAATAACGCAGAAAGGATTATCTGATTCAGAACAACACAATTTATACTTTGTAACTGTAAACTTTACCCCTTCACACTCTTAATGTTCAAAACATCACTATTTACACGCTTCTTCCTTCCTGCTCACCCCCACCAAGCTTCTCCAACAAACTTACCAACTTACCTTCCAACATGGTCTTGATAGTTACAGACTGCTTGGCAATTTCCACATCAACTTCAAAAATCTCTCCATCAGAACTCTGCAACTTAATTGAAGGCATCTAAAAAGTGCATTAAAAAATTTGAGAAATATGGCACATACCTGACATGTCATCAGCTACAGTCAGAAGCCTCTAAGTTACTGACCAAAAAGTCCAGGACTTTCACGTAATTTGACTGCTTTACACATAATTCTACCAATTATCTCCAAAGTTAACTCCTAAGAAAGGAATCCTGTCCTGCCGAGCTTAGATATGTACCCTTTAAGTGCTATACTTTGGATGCAAAATATATCTAAAGTAAAATGCACTTGTATGCTTCCTGCCTTTCTGCTCCCACTGAATCGAAACTATTCCATATGACTAGTTAACTTATCATTCAACCACCTGCAAACGTGGTGGAAGGTCAGCCTGAAAATTATGGAAGGTAACCGTGTCCCCTACAGTAAGATCAACCACAGAAAAATGAACTCAGAAACAAAGACTAAAACTGCATTTGTTCACTTACATCTGTGCAGCAAAGACTTAGATAAACAGATGTCAATACAGCTTCTCAATCATAAAATTAAGGGTTTAAATTTCAGACATCTTCATACCCTTCATTACTGATTGACTAGGTGTCCAAGGCAGAGATCTGATAAAATTCCCAAAACAGGAGATTGCTTGATCCAAAAATGTATTTATTAAACTGAGTCATGAAGAAGAAAATCTCTTACATAAAATTAAGCAATTAACTCAAAGGACCTGGCAAACATTCTGGCAGAAATTTAAGAATTGCTCTCTGTAAGTCTTACTACCTTCAGATTTGTTCAAAGAGCGGTTAGGGTTAGAATAAATAATTCACTGTTAAAAAAAAGAAAAAGCTGTGTGCTTGCTTCGGCAGCACATGTACTAAAAACTCAGTTCTCTTCAATTTCACTGATCGCCTTAAAAGCTCTGAAAGCATTCATAATCCAATGATGTCACTACTTGCCAAAATAAAACATCTCCAAGACTTTCTGGGTGTGTTATATTAGAAAATAGCATCAATTTTAACGAACATCTCAAGGTTGGCATTTAAGACATCACCACACTCATTTTGGACTTAAGAATTGAGACCCCATTACACAACTTAGTCATTCAGCTTTTTCTAAGACAACTATTCCCATCTCCCAAGCAGACCAGCGATTAGAAGCAGCAAGCAGAAAGCAAGGCCCTGTTTCCCAATCACACACTGGAATATCCGGCTTGCTGCAAGCACCCACGGAGGGAGAGCGTCGGATTACACTTTCCAGCTCCCAGCGGGGGGTGGGGGGAGCAGCTCGGGGCTCCCCAACAATGCAGCAGCCCTCCCAGGGACAAAACAACAGAGGTACCCTAGGAACACAGCGCCGCGTAATCCCTGACATTTCTGTTATGCTGAGGGTCCAGAGAGCTGATGTTACAGAACCCGGAGTCTAACAAGGCCAAGTGATCAGATTAGAGCAGAACAACCATTTCATATTTCCCTCAGAATCCCTGACCAATGACACGATGTGCTTAGTCACAGTCCAGTCCATATTAGGTGACCCTGAAGGCAGCCGAGATCTCATTAAGCAGCAAGGAGCCAATCTGTAACTGGATGCACCTGGTAATCTAACCTCCCCGTTCAAAGAGAACTTCCAGCGTCACATCAGCATTCAGTGAAAATTTTTAAATAATGCACAGCACTTTGACTCGACAAGCTTCCAAAACCATTTTTTTTTTCAATTCTTTAGATTTCTGTACACGGATACCGTGGCTGGCTAACTAAACCGATTCTATCAAATTATAACCAGCCAAAAAAAAAAAAAAAAAGAAAGAAAAAGAAAAACACGCTGGGTTTTTAAGTGACCCGAAACTCTGCCATCTTTTTTTAGACCACGGGGGTGGAGGAGACTGCATTGTTCTATAACACAAACACAACCATCTCCTGGGAAGCTCTACCGAAAAAAAAAAACATGTCCCCCAATACTCGGACCTCAAGCCTCCATCAATGGTGAACCGAAGCAGGTGGACTTCCTTTCCCTTGAAAACCCAGGCACCGCGAATTGTTTTTTGGTTTTTTCGTTGTTGTTGTTTTGTTTCTTATTTACAAGAATTAGGGCCCCTGGAAGTCAAACCACTATGACGATGCCATCTGCTATGAAAACAGTTCTCTCAGCGACTGCACACAGTGGCAAAAACAATGCAGGAAAAGTCTTCCCACGAACAGCCCCGGCTGGCGCACCCCGGGCAGCTAGAGACGTCGAGCGCAGGCTCGGCACTCCGGGAGCCCACAGCCCAGGTGTCGGAGAGGCCTAGCGGAGGCCCCGCTCACAGCTCAGGCCGACCGAGAGGCCTGGCAGCCCGGCCCCGCGCAGCCACACCAGGCCCCGGAGAGGCCTTGCGGAGGCGGCCCGGAGCGCCCGACCCCGGAGCCCAGCGGGCCCGAGGGAGCGGCCCGCAACGCCGCCGCCCCCACGGCCCCCTTCCCGCTCTCCGCGCGGACGCCTACTCACGGTGTTTCGAGCTTGTGGACACGGCGGCCTGAGGGGCAGGCGGCGGCGGGACACGAACAAGAAGGCGGAGAACAAGACCGCTCGAGCGGTGGCGCGCGGCGGCGGCCTTTATAGGCGCGTGCGCGGGCGCTGAGGACCCCGGGCCTCAGGCGTCACACAGCCGGCAGGGCTGGCCGCCGAGATCGCCTGAGTGCAGGCCGCGCAGAGGCAACGGGGCCGAGGGAGGGGCGGCTGCCCTACCCCGCCTCGGAAGCTCGGCTTGTTCCCTCTCTGGAAAGCCGGCCCCGGACACGGACTGGGGCTCCCTGGCAGGGTCTTTCAGGCAGAGGCTGTCCGAAGCTGCGTGAAGGACCCAATCCTGAGACGCCTGGCGACAACAAAACGGGGTGTGGGTGTGTCAGCCCTGCGCCGGGGAGGTTTGCTCTCAGCTTGAGCGGACCCGGTGAGGCGCGAGAGCGCGCCACCGAGGCAGCGTCAACTGATCCGTCCTGGGCAGCCCCGTCCCTTTGAAACCTTTGTTTCCATGTATTTCAAAGAGAACTGAGGTAAAAGGAGAGAGCGAGAGCTGGGCCAGGCTGAAGCCTCCGGGTCTCCCCTTGTGGGGGTGACCAGCACCTGCTGCCCCCAGAGGTTAAAGGTAGCAGCAAGATGGCGCAGAGGGGCCTCAGCTGAACCTGGTGCTCAGATGCACCGTGTCAAAGCCGAGGCTTCGCTCTGCCCGCCGTCCATAGTCCATGTTCACCACCCCCTTGAGGAAGAATCATACTGTTTTGTTTTGTTTTGTTTTTCTTCCCACTGTGGAACATACCAATGGCTTAGTTAAAAAGAAATAGTAACTCAGGCTTTCTTCCACAATTGGGTGCTCTTAAAACCATATTACCTGGCCCTGGCACAGTGGCCTAGCAGCCAAAGTCCTCGCCTTGAACACCCCAGGATCCATATGGACGCCGGTTCAAATCCCGGACGACCTGCTTCCCATCCAGCTCCCTGCTTGTGGCCTGGGAAAGCAGTCGAGGACGGCCGAATGCTTTGGGACCCTGCACCCGTGTGGGAGACCTGGAGGAAGTTTCTGGCTCGTGGCTCCAGCACTGGCCTTTGAGATTACTTGGGGAGTGAGTCATCGGACTGAAGATCTTCCTCTCTGTCTCTCCTTCTCTCTGTATATCTGACTTTTATTGTAATGAAAAATAAATCTTAAAAAAAAAAATTACCTGATGAAAAAGTCCCCTAGCCAAAAATAGCCTAGCAGTGAATCCCTGGTTCTTGTAAAAACATGCATGGAGCTCCTGTGTGTGAACGTGACTGGGAATATGAGCCTGGCCCAGCCGGGACAAATCCATGTGTGAAGTGCTCTCAGAAGGCCTTGGACCCATGACCCAGCTCAAGCGAAGGGAGCAGTCATCTGAGAGTCCCATGCCTGCCCCCACCCTGCTGCGGGATTGTGCAACTGCCTGGCCCTACCTGCCCTGCCTGGGAAACATGACCCGCCCCGGGCCAGGAGGCTGAGGCGCCAGGCTCAGCCAGCCACAGGCACGTGATGAGATCCCTGACACCAGGAAGACAAAAGCCGTTTCCACCCCAGGCCCCCCGAAGGAAACTGGAGCCCAAGCTCCCCGGAGATAGGCCTGGGCAAGGAGGCCAGGCAGCTCCTTGGGTTACCAGGTCTTTGTCTACCAGCCGCAGTGTCCGATGTCTGCCAGGTGCCACTGCCGCTGATGGCAGATGAAAGGCCTCCTGCACCTCCTGTGTTGGCTCCACAGCCCAGCCTTGTCCTCCTGGGCCTGGTCCCTTCCCCACCCCCCCGGGAGGGGTGTTCAGCATGGCACCTTAAAAAACACCCGCTGGACATTGTGGTGCAGAGTTTTAAGCTGTAGCTTGTGGGGCCCATATCTGATTCAAGTCCTGGCTGCTTGCTTCCCATCCCACGCACCCTCCCAATGCACCTGGGAAGGCAGAGAAAGATGGCCCAGATGGCTGGGACTCTGCCGCCCAGGGAAGGTTCACATTGGCCCCAGCCTCACTGTTATGGCCTCCGGGAATAAAATAGCAATGGAAGATATTTCTCTCTTTCTCTCTCTCTTCAAATACAGAAATCAATAGATCTTAGCAGTCTGGGGGGTGGATGAGGGACGGTGCTGGTTGAACAGGACCGGGCAGTGCTGGGTGACGGCTAGCCTGGCACAGGGCCCAGCATAAAGAATGTGGATGTTTTTCCAACCACCTGAGAACTCTCATGTTAGAATTGCAGAGGAGTGCTTGCTTTAAAGAGGGAGATTCCATTTACTTGTATGCATTTATTCCCTCAAGAAAGAAACAGGAAGTCAGAGGCCTCAGGAGATAGGTCATGATTTCCCTTCTGCCTTTGGATTGACTCGGGTGAATGTGTTAGATATTTTCATAATTTTTTAAAGTTTTTTTTAAAGGTTTATTTTTATTATTTTTTCATTGGAAAGGCGGATATACAGAGAGGAGAGACAGAGGAAGATCTTCCGTCCGATGATTCACTCCCCAGGTGAGCGCAACGGGCCGATGCCATGCTGGTCCGAAGCCAGGAGCCTCTTCTGGGTCTCCCACACGGGTGCAGGGTCCCAAAGCTTTGGGCCGTCCTCGACTGCTTTCCTGGGCCATAGGCAGGGAGCTGGAAGGGAAGTGGGGCTGCCGGGATTAGAACCAGCGCCCATATGGGATCCTGGGCGTGCAAGGCGAGGACCTTAACCACTTGCGCCACTGCGCCGGGCCCTAAAAGTTTTATTAATCTTATTTGAAAGGCAGAATCACAGAGGGAATGAGAGCAAGACATCTTCCATCTATAGGCTCACTCCCCAGATGGCTACAAAAACCAGAGCTGAGCTGACTTCAAACCACGAGCTAGGACCTTTGTCCAGGTCTCCTTTGTGTGTACAGGGCCCAAGGACTTGGGCCATCCTCTTTTGCTTTCCCAGGACACTAGCTGAGAGCTGGATCAGAAGTGGGGGCAGTCAGGACTAGAATTGGTGCCCATATGGGATGTCAGCACAACAGGCATAGGATTAACATGATACACTATGGTGTTGCCTAAATGTATTACGTATATATTTTTAAAGATTTAATTTATTTTTATTGGAAAGGTGGATACACAGAGAGGAGGACAGAGAGGAAGATCTTCCAATTGATTGTTCACTCCCCAAGTGAGCACAACAGCTGGAGCTGAGCCAAATCTGAAGCCAGGAGCCAGGAGCCTCTTCCAGGTCTCCCACAGGTGCAAGGTTCCAAGGATTTGGGCCATCCTTGACTGCTTTCCCAGGCCACAAGCAGGGAGCTGGATGGGAAGCAGGTTGTCCGGGATTAGAACCGGCATCCATATGGGATCCTGGCATGCAGAAGGCAAGGACTTTAACCACTGCACTATTGCGCTGGGCCCCAAATGTATTATATTTTGCTTCAAGAGTATCAGTTGACTTTAAGCCAAGAAGAAGAATGCATATTCTGGGCTGGTGCTGTGACATAGTGAATATAGCCTGCCATACTGGCCTCCCAGCCATAGCTTGTGTGTGCACTGGTGTGTGATGGTCAGCCATGCTCCATCCATGCTAACAAGTTCAATCCAGGACTCCCATGTGGCCTGGTGTATCATTTGGATCCATAAAGATCTTCAGGTCTCTCCCCTCCAAATCACCAGGTCTCAGTCCCCTTGCTTACCTGCCATCCTCTGCTACCCTCCCAGGCCATGGACAGGGAGCTGGATCAGAAGTGGAGCAGCCCGGGCACTAACCAGCACCCATATAGGATGCCAGCACTGCAGGAGGCAATTTAGCCTGCTGTGTCACAACGCCAGCCCGTTTTCTTCCCTAATTTTTTGAAAGGCAGAATCACATACACACCCCCCCACACACCCCTACACTCACACGCAGAATTTCCGATCCATTGGTTCAGTCCTCAAATGGCCCAACAGGCCAGAGCTGCTCTGGCTCAAACCCAATAGCCAGGAGCTTCTGCTGGGTCTCCCATGTGAGTGCAGGGGCTCTAGCACTTGGGCTGCCTTTTGCTGTTTTCGCAGATACATTTCAGGGAGCTGGGCTGGAAACTGAATAGCTGGGACAAGTCCCACATGGAATGTTGGCACTGTAGACAGAAGCTTAATGTGATATGCCACAGCACCAATCCCCAAAAAGAACGTTTATAGCAGCTTTATTCCTAACAGGCAAATTTTAGAAGTAACAAATCCATCACATATAAAATGAAATAAACTGTCGTATATTCATATAATAGAATCCTACACAGCAAGGAAAAAGAAACTTATACAGAGTACTTGCTATATAAGCCAATTTAAATGAAGACCAATAAAACAGGCAAAAGCTATTCATTCAAACATTTATTCGAAAGGCTCATCTACAGAACAGAGATTTTTTTTTTCAGCCACTGGTTCACTCCAAATGGCTGCAATAGCTGGAGCTGGGCTTATCTGCAGTTAGCAGCCAAAACTTCATCCAGGCCTCCCACATGGGAACAGGGGCCCAGTTCTCTCCTGCCTTCACAGTACTTCAGTGGGGAGCTGGACTGAAAGTGGAACAGCTGGGATCCAAAACGGCACCCATACAGCATACCAATGTCACAGGCGGTGGCTTTACTCACTATGCCACAATGATAGCTCCAGACAAAAAAACTAGTCTAGGGTGAGACAAAATAAGGTACCTGATAGATGAACGACTTTCTGGGATGACAGACTTTATATCTTGAGTCATTGGTGGATTCACGGTGGATGTGTCCAGAGAAGAAAAGGAACTGGCATTATACGGTATAGTCTCTCCTCATGTGGCTGCCCAGCCAAGCTTGTGGACTTTGCAAGATGTTGGGGGAAGGGGGAAGCTAGAGGATTCCTGCAAGGCCCCTGCCCACCCAGGAGTCCAGTCTTGGAGCAAAGCCATAGTAAGGGCACTTACTATTTGCTGCTGGTCAATGTAAAGCTTCCGCCGGGGGCTGTGGGGACCAAGCACCGCTCTCAGGAAGATGCTATTGGAAGCTCAAGGCAAAACAGTCTGCACCTAAGTCGCAGAGGAGAGAGCATCTTGTCCCACCTGTGCACACCACAGCATGAGATCCACAACTCCAGCTGTGTCAGACTGTC